ATTATTTTTATCAGTTTCGCGGGAACATTGAACGAAGCGCTGTTTTTGTTCGCAGACATAATTGGTAATCAATAAAAAAACTTAGACTAGAAAAATAAAATTCAAGTCATTCGAAATTTTTCATTCCTACACGTTTCAATTCTATCAATTCAATTTCGCTATATTCTAATCTCTAGTGTGATACTTATATTTCATCTATAGGCTTTTAGGTACTGATCAATTATCAATGAAAGATGTATGTATTATCTGATAGTTTATCTCGTATATTATTTAATAAAAAGTTGTTTACATAAACTGTTGACATATCTGTTCGAATCTAAACAAGAACATGATTAGAAAAGCTTTGTCGTAGTCCTCACTTGCTGTCATTCTCGATCCTGTGAAAATAATGAATAAAACGTTCTTGTCTATTGTTAACCAAACCGAAATTGGTCTTTTAACAACAATATTAGTTGTGATACAAAGAAATCGGAAGATCAAAGATTCCAACAAAAACATCATTATTCTTTTCGAATACAAACTAATTGAAATTCTAAGTGAAATCTCTTTTTATTAATCTTAGTTATCTGCATTCTTCACTATGCCATGCTCATTGAGAATCGGTGTGTTTCGTTCAGGGAGGCTGCAAAAACTATTAACTAACGCTTCGTAATTGTGAAAATACTTTCAAAATTACTTTTAATCAAAGAGCTATTTATGCTAAGCTACCAAATGTATTTTATCCCTCGGATTTATGAATATTTACTTGTTGAAGAGCTTTGTGGTTTAATTTTTTGTAGTCTATAACATATATCCACTGAATACGACTGTTGATAGAAAAGAAAACGGTCACAGTTGTAGATGATTTAGTATTGTCAACTTTATGTAATTTTCGGAGACGTCGTCATATATTTCGACCAAAAACTCAACTGCACCTTCTTATCATGAAAGAAACCATTGAACATTGTCATTTGTATCTCAAAAGTCATACAAATCCATCCTTTACTACTCTCAGACTAGTGACAGTAAGCAACTACCTGTATAAGTTGAAAGTCACTGTACAAATAAAACAATTATGCCACTAGACACAGATAAAAGTTGCCATCAATGTACTCTTGTTCATTATAAGATAATGCTTCCATTTCGTCCCTTTCACTTGACTTTAACACCTATTATATGTGCGTTCACCAGCAAACTGCTACTAAATGTAGCTGTTACTTTCGATATCGTTTAAGAAAAACAATAGGTGAATGGAATAATATAATTATTATTCCCATTATCATTTTATCGCTGTTGATTATATGCAAGATGTCTGTAGTAGAATGGTTTCATTACAACGTAGGATACTATTCATATGATTATATACGAGCAACTTATTCGCCTTTCAACAGAATGAGGAATTATGTTTCTTCGAAAAGATAGTAGACAGTTTTTCTCAGATTTCTGATCTTTTCATTTATTGTGCTTTGTCGATGCAATAGCTGACACAAAGTTCGCGTCAATTTTGTCAATCATAACGATGGCCAACTATTAGCTTTACTGCGGTGATACCTACAAAATGTTAGATAAAGAAAGGGATGAAACTTTCGTATTGAAGCATCGATACCACATTTCCAAGCAGTCAAGCACGCGAGAGATGAGTGGAAAAATGAAGAAAATAGTAGTTAAATGGTGATCTAATATATTGGTCAGAAGGGCATGTCGATGTGGCATCATTGCAAGAAATGTTATGACGTCTTCCATTGAATGTCCGCCTCTCGAATTCTCCGCAAGCTAGAACAGAAAAAAATCATGTTATTTTAGGCTAAGACCAGTCGATAAAATATATATACCAAAGACAGTGCAACGGCTCCCGTACAGACGCCATATCGCCCTCTTTGCACGTCTCCTCGTTTCTTTTTCATCTTTTGTCAAGAGATCTATCAGATATTCATCTTTGGTAGAGATTAGTGGCATAACCAGAAAAAAGTTGTACGAAGACTCAGCTTACTAAGGGTGTCAGTGGTCGTGTTGGTTTGGATGTGAAGATGGATGGGTATGCGTCTGCATGCATTTGCAATTATGGGTGCCGATTTGGACTGCTGTGTCAGATACCCACATCCACGCCCTAGTTTACGTATTTGTATAACTTTGGCTTTGAATTTTTTTTGTAACGAAGACCCTTAAATGCAGCCACAATTTTACATCGCAACACGCTCATAACTGCATCCACACCCACATACTTCTCACGGCTCGTTCTTCTCTTACATTTTTGTTGTTCTGAGTTTTTCTCCATCACTTATTCTGTGAGTACACTTTCGATCCTCAGGCAAAGATTGACTATGTCATATAAACAAGAGAAGCAATCAAACACATCAATCTATTTTTTGTTTCTTTCAGCCAAGTTTGTCGGTATTACTTTCTCGGTATTTTTACTTTTTCTCCTTCTCTTACATTTTTTTTTCTCTGATTCTCACTAGTAGGTGTTCTGAGATTGTTTTATTTGTTCACTCGAAGAGAGAGAAACAATGCAAATAAGGGATGCAGTGAAACATTACTGCTAGCATTGAGGTTTATTTTTATGCGGTGCGAAGCACGGCATTCCTGTCGTTCTTCACGAGTTTACTTTATTTCTTTCTTTTCTTTTTTTTTACTTACTTTACGTATGCATTAATACTTACCATATTTTTATGCGATTGCCTCACAAGTGAAAGCCGCAGAATAGTCTTTCAAACTGGAGACCTAAGTATCTAGACTGAACTTATACATTTTATTATGCTATTGTCGAGATGATGTTTAGTTTGCTTCTTGATAGCTTGCGCAAATGAGAACTTTTTCAAGACTTAATTCTTCCTTCGTTTTTACGTAGGTAAAACGAAAATACCATAAAAAGTTAGACGTCACTTCCTTTGTCCATATATGAAACAGCTGTAAATACAGCTGATTATAGATAATGAATCATATAGAAAATTAGACGATCAGTTGGAAGAATTTTTCATCAGCATATTAATATGCGTTCATTCATTTTTCGTAGTGTGAAGTCTTTTGATGGCTACATTTCACGTTGATATTAGCTATGATCAGTTGATTGATGTAAACGTAACTTTTCCCGATTTACAAAAACGAAAGTTTTTTTCGTTCCTATTTCTTTCCGAAGTTCAAGATTCGTGTTTCTTAACATATTTCGTATTCTAGTCGACCTTGAACACCATCTAATTTCTGATAGGTCTGCCAGTATTCATATCAGAAAATTCTTACGATTTCTTTCTCTCCTACATTCTCTGCTTTCTTGATTTTTATTCATGTTGTTGTTCTACGAACGTTTTGTTCATTTTCTTATAGGAATTACAAAAAACAACTATAAAAAACGGGGAAGCCAAAAAAATACGAGAATATGCTCTTACATTTGTTTGTCTGACGGCTCTCACAGTATTACTCTTGCAGGATTCTTACGGTTTACATTTTTCCTATATTCTTGTTTTTCTAAGATTTTCGCCATCATTTATTCTGCGAGTACTTTGTTTATGCACTAGTAAAGATTGAAGAAATTATACAATTATAAGGTAATACCAAGCATACCAATCTGCTTTTCGATTCATTTTTCTGAAGGATCTACCGATATTGCCAATGAAAAACTGCTATGATTTTTCCTTCTCTTGAATTATTTTTCTTTTTCTCCCTATCAGTTGTCGTTGTGTGAGTGCCTTGTTTTCACTCTTGTAAAGATCGAAGAAATCAAAGACACTCTAACCACCAATTGGGGTGGCCAGCTGCCCTTGGAATCGTTTCGTTCAAGGGTTGTTAACTATTGTGTTAGAATTCTAAGGATTCTCCTAGTAGGCATGTACCGAGATGAAGTCCCTCAGTCTCCCTTAGTCTCGGCCTTGATATTCATGAGTTTCGGTCTCGATTATATTTAATTTTGATCTCGTTATTCATCATAGATAAGCCTGGTAGTCATCTTCGGTCGAAATTATTATTTTTTCAGTTTTTTGACCGAGACTGACATAGGTTGAGACGACCAAGGTCGAGAGCCTCGCTTGACATTCGGCCTCGATACCTTCCTATTCTCTGGCTGTCAAACATTTTTCTTCCTTTTCATCGCAGTAGCTGTTCTGTTGGAGAGAGTGTCAGCGGAAGCGTGGATACCTTAAATCGACACCAACACATTCCTCTCTCTAGGAAAATTTTTGAAGCATATATTTTATTCGCCAAGGAGACTCGAAGGTCCCTAAGAGGGGTCTCAGACTTATCCATCGTTCCTCCCCAGCCCAAACTTCTGACTTCGCCACTACTTATTTACCATTTCATTCGATGCTTATAATAATAAAAATATTAAAGAAAGAAAAAGTAAAAATAATGAGTGCATAGCATTAATGAAAATGAAAAATAAGGGCGTCGGTTAAAAACAAACAATGAAAAAAGTCTTAATTTTATACTCTCTGTATTTCGTATTAATATAATGAAGCTGAAAAACATATGAGAATTTCATATTTCAGCTCCAAACGGGCTACGCTAACAGACTGTTTTCTAACATTAAATTCTTCGCCTTTCAAACAGAATACAAACTGCATAGATTAGTTGTATGTATGATATAAGAAACAGTTACACTATTTTAAATAATAAAAAATAATGTTAAACCAATGATTTTGCTTGTTTCATATTCTTTTTTCTGAACTTTTAATGAACTACTTGTCCTTCAACAGTTTTCATGAAGAGCTGTTCTTCTTGTTTTTCTTACAATATTGTCATGATTATATTCCAATCTTCATGAAATATTTATAATAAAAACGATATGACAACGATTTATACACTGTTTTTTGTTTTTTTAATGCCCCTAATCTGTTTTACCGGCAAATTAAAAAGAATATGAACAAGAATACTTTTGATGTTATAAAACAAATGTTTGATATTTGTATTTATGTCTAATGTTAGTGATGCTTGATTGAGCATTTGACATTCTGACGAATAGATATATAAATTAATGATCATTAGTTTTCTTTTATTTTCAGACTTTATTTCTACTTTATCGATTGCGAATAATGAATAATAATGATACAGCTCACACTTTATTTAAACCAATTGATACAAATCGAGATGAACAGTATGAACTAAGAATTTAAATCAAATAATAAATACATATATAAATATTTAGTATTGAGAAAAATGAATTTCATGCTTGGATTTCAAATAATGAAGAATTGCCTTCTTCATCATATGAAGCAGCAACTAGTAGACTTAATCGTTATGATGATACTACTACTCGATTTGATCGATATAAATATCAAGATAGTTTTCAAGATGATTTGGGATATACGGCTGATAAATATACTTCATATGGAACTAGGAAATGGATGCATGAACCGGTGATTAATACAAATAGTTCAGAAGAAACCAATTATTATCTGGAAAGATTAGGTGCAAATATTTATAAGGATTCTAGTCCAAAAATTATTCGACGAGCAAGAAGTGAAAGTCCAGTAAAACAAGAACAACGAGTTTTTGTTCGATATCTTCAACCACCACCTGTTCCACCACCAGGAGTAATGAAACAAATTATTTACAAATTCAATCTGACCAATCTTTTCATGATTTTAGCCTCTCATTATCAAAGAAGTGCGTCCACGACAACCATCGCCACCTCTATCACTTGTCATACACGAACATGCACCATCTCCACCTTCACCACCTCCACTTATCTTACGTGAACGGCCCCCCACACCACCGAAATATATTCCTAGTGAAACAAGTTAGAAAAAAAAAGAAATTTATATTATATAGTTTAGATTGATCAATGTATTTTATTTTACAGTTATTCGTACCTTACCTGTTTTACCCGCTCCACCACGATCAGTTGTCATCGAACGTTTTTCACTTCCTCCAGACAACCCACGTAAAATAATTATCTTCATTTTTCTTTTTTGTTTTCTTTTTATTCCAGATTGTTGTTTTTTTGCTATTGAGGCGATATTGTAATCGAACGACGGATTCTATATGGACCTCAATTTGAAAGCCGTACGATTGTTGAACACGCTCCTTCTACTCTGCAATATAGGGTGTCTAGTAAGTAACTCCACAAAGAAAAAGTTGAATATCTCCAGTTAGTGAGAACCTTTGCAAAGTATCACTATTGATCTGAACAAGAAAATTTTACTACTTCATAGATAGAAAAGAAAACAATATTACTTACCATAGATTCTCATTAATCTCGTCCATATGGATTTGGAGTGTTAACATGCCTCTATCTTTGGTAAAAAATCAGCTCGTTTGCTCGAGCCGTAATAGAGATATCCAATTTTCTTTTTTGATAAAGTAACTTTTGCACTATCCCGTATGTTGTTTTTTCCCTACCTATGAAAAAAGTAAAATTTTCTTGTTGAGATTAATAGTGATACTTAGCAAAGGTTATCACTAGCCTTGTTCATATGGATTTGAAGTGTGAACATGCCTCTATCCTCGGTAAAAAGATGAGTCCGTTTGGTCGAGTCGTAATGGAGATATTCAACTTTTTCTTTATGGAGTTACTTACTGAGCACCCTATATTCACAACCATCTAATACTGTTATTATTATTCATGCTACTGTTGAAACACGTATAGTTCGAAAATATCAACAAGTTCGTGTTACCAACGAAGATCCTGACGGTTATAGAACTCGTGATGGATCATCTCTTTTAGATCCAGCAACATCTATTAGACAAACTCGCAACACTGGTGTTATGAGAGATATAGTAAACTTTTTTCAAAAACAAAATACCTTCAGAAAAAAAAACTATATAAATCTTTAATTGTAGTCGCCTCCAGCACGATCATCCTCATTATATACAACTACACGTGGATATAGTATTCATTTTGATCGATCGAATGATATAATTAATAGAGATTATTCATCAACAGTTCGAATTAATAGTGGAGGATACCAATAATACATTTAAAACACTATTTGACTGAAATTTTTCTTTTTTTCTATTTAAATACAGTAGTTTTTACTTGTAGTTTTTATAACGGAACATATAAACTGATTATATAATCAAAGACACAGAAATAAAAATACAATAAAGTTTGTTTATACACCACTGATAACACTACTAGTTGAATCATGTTTTCTTGTATACCATGCTGGTGCTATGGTTAAACGAGATGTTTGCATGGTATCATACCATATATTGGTATAATATGATAATATACTATTCAAAAAGATGAATGTTTTTATGAATATAATCAATTTTTGGGATATGTTATTTGATAATTTATTTTCATAAATAATCGATATGTTTTGTCTATGCTATTTAATATAATTGTTTATGTTTCTGGTATAAATACCATTTCATGAAGTTCAAAAAGATTTATAGAAAAATCTTCAACTTGATCTAATTTTCCTCCATATGTATGTTATTGATAGTCTTCTTGTAATTCAATCTAAATCAGTGGTTTTGAAAAAACAAGACGAAAATTATCCAATACAATGGTTCGATTTGAATCACTTATTCCTTTTAGAGATGATATTGGATTTCTTTCAATACTAACATGAAGTACAAATATAATGATCACATGATAAACAATGATGATGTCAAGGAGCAATCAGTTTTGAACTAAAAGAATCAGGACAAATTTGACAATGTGCCACATCGATCTTATTAAGTGGATAGTTGTAATTACGAAATAATTTATCTCCAATTCTAAAATTATAAGAAATAAATATGTAAATAAATATTACTCAAATTTTATATTCTACTTAATATAATAATATGTATTGAAATAAAATTATATCTAGAGATTTTAATGTAATATTATATTTTGATGAAAAGTGAGTGTATGTAGATTAATGTTTTTATTTTTATTTTTTTTTATGGGTAACCAATATGTTTATATAGGAAATTTTTGGCTTTTCTTATGACCATTTTCAACCATTCGACTATTGATGAAACTAACAGTACAATACAGATAAAAGATGAAAAATAACACCTACACCCTTATTATATTAAATATGTTATGATGTTATATATATATATATCACTTATGATGTTGATATTTATGATACTGATATTATATATATTATTTTGAAGTTAATATCTTATAGTATTGATATTCTTTTATGATATTATATATATGAGTGAATCGTATTTTTGTTGTACAATTCTGGAAAAAAACATGAAAGTACATTTAGAGAAAATTTAAGTTGTGCGTCTCATTCACCATTGTTTACTGAGTATGAGGCAAAAATTTCCCAACTACCACGTGTCAGAAGACCAAAATACCTCTGTATCAATGTCCGTGAAATATTAGATTGGTACATAAGTTCTGCACGTTTATTTATGTTTTAGGCAACTTTTAGGCTTTATATCTCATGATTAGAAAACGATAGAGGTCTAAAATTTTTGGTATAAATAGGTCTCCATGATTTCTATCTGATTTGAAAATTTTACATCTCTATCACTTTCTAACCACGAGGTATACAGCTTGAAAATTATCTAAAACAAGAAAAAAAGCATGCAGAACTTGTGTACCAATCTAATACATCCAAAAGCAGCAATCTTTGGAAGTTCTTACGCTTTTCTCTATCATAGCTCTTTTCTTTACTCAACGTGGGTATCACCAATACTTGAATGGTCTCCCCCAAGTGTATATTTGAGTTGAGCGAGGTCAGAAAACTAGAAAAAAGTGTTTCTCTACATATTTTTTTTTAAAAATGTTTCTCTACATTTCGTCGTATAATGCAAAATTTTTTAGGAAGACAGTATTCAATCACCCTGAAATTTTTACTAAATTTACAACTTTTTATGCTCTCTCTTATGTATAAACATCAACAAGATTGGTTTAATCTATGGGGAAGTAATGCTAAAATAATTTTCAAAATGTTTCTCTACAAAGTGAGTGAAAAACCCATTTTTGAAAAAGTTCCCCCATTTTTCTATAAAATAATAACGAGAAGACTGAAATTTTTTTTGATCATTTGGTTACTTGAACCAAGCTCTTCCTTTTGCAGGACACATTAGGACTCTAGCTTTATCCGTTCGCCTGCTGGAAACGGTTTTATGTTTCTCTACACATAAAAGAAAAAGTCTTTGTAAAAGTGTTTTTGTCATAGACGAACAAGAGAGAGATAAACATTGTATTCGCAATTGATATATTTGAGTTGGCCGTCAGACGCTGAAAAGAATGTGCTATTCACTTTTTCTCTTTCCTTTTTTTCGTTCCTCAGAAAATTCATTTTTTCTACGATGACTCATTAAAATCATAGATTTTTTTGCTTTCATTCTCTCTATCTCAGCGAGCTGGTAACCTATCGGCCTAAAATTTTCTGTGGTAGTGGGACACATACTACGGAAGCGAAGAAAAAAAGAAGTTTTAAAATTGGGCTACAAGAAACGAATTTTCAGAAGAAATACTTCAAAAACGTAATTGTACAAGAAAAATACGATTTACTCATATATATATATACATAATATACTAATTCGAATTGAATTCTCAAAATTTCTTCTAGTTTATAGTTAGTCTCTTCTGTGTAACGAACCTTTTAAATTATTTTTTTATGATATATAATATTTAATAGAATGACTTATAGATTGTCGATTGCTCGAAGAAATAAAACGAAAAAAAAATAGAACAGTAATCCATTAAAAATTTTCTTGTATTTTATTCCATTGTAAGACATATTACGAAACTTTTTTTCTGTTGTTACCTTTTAAAATGTGTCATTCGAGTTATTTGTCTACAGAATCCTTTTCTGTTGCTGCTTATCACAGTTTACTTTTTTATTTATTGTGTAGGAGACAAGCACATGGCAACTTCGACGACAAATGATTTGCGTTGTACAACATGTGGCAAGGCAGCAGCTACTTTTATGTGTCGAGGATGCTTAAAAGATTTTTGTATGCGTCATGCAAGTGAACATCGACAAGAATTAGCCAAACAGATGGATGAAGATGTTATTTCTTTTCATGATCAGCTTCGACAGAATTTTGATGAACAAATGAAAAAATCTCCTGATCATTCATTAATGAAACAGATTGATGAATGGGAAAGAAATTCTATTGAAAAAATTCGTCAAACAGCTAATGATGCTCGACAACAATTATTAAATATAATTGATAAACATATGGATAAGTTGAAGAACGATTTAGAATGTCTTACACAAGAGTTAAAGAAAGCTCGTGATGATGATAATTTTTTTGAAAATGACTTGAACAAATGGATTACAACACTCAATGAATTAAAAAAAGATTTAATCACACCACAAACAATTAATGTACACTATGATAATGATACAACTTCATTTATATCGAAAATAATTATCAACGAAAAATTAAATATACTATATGAACGCTTTGAACAATTTTTTGGTGATATATTCATTTCAGATAATGGCACAGTTGTTACTCACAATGGAAGTTATTGTTATGCATCAGTCCGTGGCAAATATGAATATACATCGGGAAAACATCAAATTCGCTTCCAAATAAAACATTTGAGTAACAAAAGATGGATTTTTTTTGGAATTTCGTATAGAGATACGCCCGCTGTCGGATATGGTTCAATAGGTAAAACAGGCTATGGTTTCTCCGGAGAGGATAACGTATGGTATGATGGTTCTGCCAAGCAGAGATTCAATGGTTACACAAGCGATTTTGAAATCAATGATATAATTGAATTACTTATTAACTGTGATCAACGAACAATAAGTTTAATAAATGAACGAACACATAAAACACATGTTTTAGATGTTGATATCACAAATTGTCCATTTCCATGGAAAATGACTGTTGGACTTTATTTTTCTCCTGGTGACAGTGTTTGCATCTTGCCGTAAATATTGTTTATACGTATTATATTTGAAAATTTTATGATATATCTCTATTCTTCTTTTGACATACTGACAATTTGTACTCAACAACTTAAACGATAATTGTAGGTTTTTTCATTAAAATAAAAAGTTTTTCAAAAGTCTACAACAGAAATTAATTTACATTTGTAAATGACTTACGATAATAATTAGGATATATTATATAGTAAACTGAATATCGCTTACGTAAATCGTCTTACTTTTCAAATAGTACAATAAAAAATAATAAATGTATATATCAATATATAATGCGCCCGAGAAGACTTTCTAGATCCAAGTATTTCTATAATACTTTCCTATTTATTAATTGTTCTCCTCTCATAAGTTGTTGAGAGAATGACTAATTAATTAAACTAATTCATAGTAAATAACATTGATCATGACGTTTCTTTCTCTAAAAATATTCATGGCTTGTTCATCTTAGATTTGAAAATGCCTTTGAAGAATTTTCACAAAGTAAATACAAACGAATAAATAAACATTTTCATTGACTTCAGTTGATTTAAATGTTTCTATCCTGATTTCAAATAGTAAGTATCAATATAATTATAGTAAATAACAACTATTTAATGAAACAAAATCAAAATAAAATAGATAAACTTAAATGAATCATATCTAGAGATATGATTGTCATTCTATCAATAAGAATTTCCTAAAAACAGTGGCGACGATTTTTGGCCCCGTCACAAATCAACTTTTACTATTGGTTTGATGGGTCACAATGGTTTGCCCTTAAATATAATACGAACATATTTATATATACACGACATTTAGAAAATTTATTTCATTCAACATTTAGTTCGTCTTGTAGCCATTAGTTATTATTATTATTGATTGAATAAAATGACTGATGCAAAATTTGTGAAAGCTTTCAGTCAGATGGAGGATGAAAAGTTTGAGGAAGCAATTCAAGTAAATAAAAAAGAAGTCTGCGTTTCCTGTATACAGTATTTTTTTTCTTCTGTTTTAAGACATTAACGGCACTTATAGAAGAACAAAAGGGTAAAGGCGACAAGGAAGATATGCTGTTGTTTTTCAAAAAACGGGCTGAATGCTACTATGAAAATAAACAATATAAAGGTAATGAACAGGGTTTTATGAGAAAACGAATCGGCTTAGCTTCATTTTTTTAATCGGAAATCTGTATATCAATGTAGACTTCGACGAAAAATCATCTGATGAAAAAATTTCAATAAATCTACGAAACTTTTAAATAGATACTTAAGCATATTACTGGGCTATATAAATATGATCTAATAACATGTCTGAATATCTGTTTAAAAATTTGGTAGAGTTATTGAACTTTTTTTCATCAAACAATTCTCCGTCCTATTCTTCATCGATATACGTACTTTTAATCGATACTAGAAGCTAAGCCAATTTGTTCTTTCATCTATTCTCATCCTTTTTTTTTCTACATTTTTCTTGCATTTTTTCTTGTTTTACTGTAGAAGCTATTAACGACATCAATAACGCTGTCGGATATGGTTTAGTTATTTCGAATAATCAAAAATTTTTTTATATGTTGAAGTAAAATATTTTTTGCTGATAATAGTTAATTTCGCTTTTGTTTTTAGTCATTCTTTGTTAGAATGCGAGATTGATAAAATTGTACACAACTTGCAAGAACAGGCAAAATTAAAATGTACGTAAATTGAGAATTTTAATCCTCTATACTTTTGTTAAGCATTGCTGAATTCCTTTAGCAAAATGGAATTGTTATAGAGTGGTAACACAATTAAAAAATTTAAAATTAGTTAATATTTTTTTGCGGTATTCAATAATTGATCATCTATTTTTCTTTTATTTACCAACGTGAATTTTTGTTTTGAAGACCAACTCGTGCACAATCTCAATTAGTAGATCGCTATAAAAAGAATTAGAAAGAAACATTTTTTATTGGTTTTTTTATTGTTATTGATCACATAAAAATGTGGTGATTAGGGGTGTCAACGTGCCCCGTTCCTAGGAACGGGGCACGTTGACATCCCTAATTTTTATGAAATTGGCTTTCCTTCGGTGAATTAGTAAAATTTCTGTTAAAAGTGAAAGAAACGTATGTTGCGTTCCAGTTTCTAGGAACGGAACGCTGAGGAACGGGGAACATTGACACCCCTAGTGGTGATCTAGTTTTTTTGTTATGATCTATATGTTGTTTGTTCTGACCTATATTTTTTTATTATGATCGACACGTTTCTTGTTGTGATCTATACCTTTCTTATTATGATCTATGTTTCTTATTATGATCTATATATTTTTTGTTATGAACTATATGTTTCTTGTTATGGCTTACATGTTTTTGTTTGCTATGGACTACGCTTTTTTTGGTACGATCTATCAAATATAGCTATTTGGTTCATTTAAAAAATATGATAACAGAATGCAAGTATAGTTCGACCTCCGACGAACACATTTGTAGACAATGAACACTTTCTTTTTGATAAAAAATATTACAATGCATTGTTTTTTCTCAATCAGATGTCTCAGTTATGCATTGAACTACAATTATAGTAGAACTTGATATAGAAAGAAAATAAAATAATATATGAAAAGAGTAGTACCTATTTTTCATGATGACGTCGAATTGATCTCGGAGTGCCTAATCCATTCGCAGCGATATTAACATTGGTTTTTCATAATTTGTGAAAGATTCCATTCCTTTATTAAACACAGCTAAAATACTTCAAAACAGCTTTTATCAATGTTCCTCTTATGAATATGAGCTATGAACATTCCTTTATCAGTGGTAGAAGAATCCGCCTCTTCCGTCAAAGTATGGTAGAGATATTCAAGTTTTTTAGTGGTAAATGAGCTTTTAGGCAAGTCTAGATCGAATTTAAGTCAGTTCAAATATCCATAACAATCATTGAACCGCCTATTTTAACAATAAATGTGAAACATCTGTCAAATGTTCAAATATTCAACTAACGTTATCGACACGTACGAAAAAAGAAAACAATAAAAATCAAGTTAGGACTTACGAAAAAGTATTAAGTTTTCAATTCTCGATAGAAAAATTGACAAGTCAGTTAGAAGTCGAGTACAAAGTAAGAGCTCTAAATTCTCTTAAACAATTACAAATGGATCTTTACAACAATTGCAGATGTATTTTTCTTAGATATTGATATTGTATGATATAGTTAAAGAAAATATTATGAGTTTTTTTACTGTAAGTTCCATATTTTTTCTATAATTTTTACTGTATAATTTTATTGATAACAGAATAAAAGATTGCTATCTGTAAATTAGTACATTTATAAATTCAAGATATTTAGACTAGCATAAGACTCACTAAAGAATTTGTCTGACGAAGATTATGATCTTCACGATGTTGTTTACACTTCATGCGTTCAAAGTAACATTTTCATTCTCGAGCATAAAGTAATTCTGTCGAGTGAACTCATTTTCATAGGACTATTGTTCTCGTGCAAGAGATGCATTTAAATTTCATGTGCTCATACAAAGAAAACAATTATTAGATTACTGGATCTATCCAATATCATATTATATAGTGATGCATTAGGATTGAAAATCATTCATAGCTCCAATGATTTTACGTTTAAATTATGTTCTATGTCTCTTTCGAATTTTTCTCTGAACAGTTTGACAGAGCACCTGACTAAAAAGACGGTAACAACAAGAGCTCATCTCAAAAACAGGAAATTGTTGGGAAATACGCACCCACAACTGCAAAAGTTTCTACAAACTATATGTTGCATCATCAATATTTTACAACAATAAATTTCATATCACAAAGTTCGTTAGCAAACTCACAAACTGTAATCAGAGTGATTAAAAAAAAATAACAGGTAACAATTCATTCATAGAACTAGTACGATCGATCAATAGTTCTGAAATAAATAATCGAACTATTTGAATTTGTTCTATTTATACTTGAAGAATTCTAAATAGAAAAATTTATCAATTTTCGTTTTTCATTTTGACCATTTCACTTTATTATTAGTACAAATAGAAAACAAAAAAGAATTTTTGACGGCAGTAGCGCGCGCTCGGGCATATATAAAGAAGCGAAAAAAAAAAGAGAAAGAAAGCATGTATTGTCTGGAAGAAAGACAGACAAATAGAAAAGAAAACAAAAAAAACAAAACGAGATACATATACATAAACTGACTCATTCTCCTTGTGGAAATCAAGAAGAAATAAGAAAAAAAAGATACTCAACACAATACAACAACGAAAAGACCATAATGCACGAAGCCAGCAACAACAACAATATTATTTATTATGAAAAAATATGAGAAGAAAAAAAAACTCCTTTGTTTTTGTTCCACAGCAAACAGACAAAAATGTACACTAGCAATGTAAAAAAAAAAAAAGAAAAACAAAACTACATAGCTGAACGATACGTATATTATTCGTATTGGAGCAAAAACAAATATTTACATATACACTCGAAAGAAATCAAATGAATGAGATGTTTTCGATATATGTATATACATATCTTTTTTTTTTTGAGATATATATGTATGTATAGATCAGTGTGTAAAAAAAAATTCTTTGCCGATAACTTAAGTGAAGAATAAAATCAGTCGGCCGAAAAATAAAGAGGAGAGGAGCATACGTGAAGATAATAAATAGACAAAAAGAAGACAGTATTGCTTTTCAACGAGGAGTTACAGATGACGGTGGTGGTGGAGTAGATTGAAGTCCCATTGGATTATTATTTATACCCGTTGTAGGATCACTTGTTGAAGATGATAATTGTGAAGGAATTGGAGCTCGAACACGTTGAACTGGTAGAGTTCCATAAGCAACTGTTGTTGGTGGTCGAATACCCCGTGCTGTTGCTACCATATTATAATCCGGTGTTGATGTCATTGGACGTTGTGAAGGATAATAAGAAGAATTCGTTGGTGGCATATTAGGATAGAATGAGGGTGTTTGTGGACGTGAACGATTTTGAAGAAGAGGATGAAACATTTGTTGTTGTTGTTGTTTTGATGGAT